GAAGCTTTAACATGTGCTTCAATCTTGACGTATCCTCAGCTCAACAGACCATTTATTCTCGACACGGCGCGAGCAATGAAAGTGTCGGTGCTGTTTTGTCCCAAGAAATAGACGGCCAAGAACGTGTAGTAGCTTACTGGAGCAAGTGCCTGTCTAAACTGGAGAGGAATTACTGTGTCACTAGGAAAGAGTTGCTCGCCATAGTTAAAGCCGTAGAGCATTTCCATCATTATCTATATGGCAGAAAATTCCTCCTCCACACGGACCGTGTCTCATTAACCTTGCTTTTAAATTTCAAGAATCCTGAGGGTCAAATAGCCAGGTGGATACAGAGACTCCAAGAATATGACATCACTAGCCGTCATCATATGGGATCATCACACGGGAACGCCGATGCCCTGTCTAGAAGACCTTGCCCAGAAAGCTGCCGATATTGTTCCAGGGTGGAAGCGAAATACGAGCTGCTGACTCCCGTCGCAAGACAAATTACAGCATCAACATCGGCTGATCGAGACCCGTGGAGTGATGATGAAGTTAGGAAAGACCAGCTGGAAGACCGTGACATTAAACCCATAATTGATTTAATGAAGTCATCAAACAGAAAACCTACCTGGCAGGACATTTCTATCTGTAGTCCTACAACAAAACAATACTGGGCACTCTGGGATTCACTTCACATTTGAAACGGCATCTTATACCGGAAATTCGAATCGGATGATGGGAAGACGTTCCGATGGCAACTGATACTTCCAAGATCCCGGATTCCTGATGTCCTTAAAGAAGTACATAACAGCCCTACAGGAGGTCACTTTGGAGTAATGAACATCTTGCAGAGAGTTCGTGAGCGTTTTACTGGAATAATGCAAAGGATGACGTACAAAAGTGGTGCCGATCATGCGATGCCTGTGCAGGTTGGAAAGGACCGAGGAAACGCAGCCGAGGCAAGCTGCAACATTACAATGTAGGTGTGCCGTTTGAACGTATCGCCTTTGACATCTTGGGACCTCTGCCACGAACTTCTGATGGCAACAAATATATACTCATTCATGTCATTGATTACTTCACAAGGTGGCCTGAAGTGTATCCCATTCCTGATCTAGAGGCTGTCACAATAGCTGAGGTGATGGTACAGCACTGGATTTCCAGGTTTGGAGTGCCTATTCAGTTACATTTCGATCAGGGAAGGAATTTTACGTCAGCAGTAATCAAAGAACTCTGCAAATTACTCGGCATTGACAAAACACAAACGACCCCATTACGTCCTCAGTCGGACGGCATGGTAGAGAGGTTCAATCGAACCATCCTTAATAACCTCTCATTAGTGGTTTCCAGAAACCAGCAGGACTGGGACAAGAAATTATCGCTGTTTTTACCGGCTTACCGCAGTGCTGTTCACGAGACTACCGGCTATTCCCCATCACAGATGCTCTTTGGTCGTGACCTTCGTCTGCCTTGTGATCTATTGTTTGGTCTCCCTCTGGATGCTCCTTCATCTGCCTATGGAATATATTCAAGATCTCCAGGCCCGGTTTGAAGTGATGCACAACTTTGCATGAGAGCGAAGTCAACTTGGCGACGGAGAAGATGAAGACCCGATACACATACACAAGAGCTACTGGACATCAATTCCACGAAGGAGACAAGGTTCGTGGTTGTGGAATCCGACTCGACGGAAAGGACTTTGTCCGAAATTACAGTCACCTTGGGTTATGGTCCGTACACAGTCCTAAACAGGCTGAATGACGTCGGTGGTTCGGATCCGTAAGTCCATCGAACTCTAAACCTAAAATTCGTTCATTACGACAGGTTAGCTCATTACTACCACCTGGCCACAGTAGTACGTAAATAATTTATGTAAATATGTATTGTGTAAATAGTGTAAGAATTCCACGGTCCTTTTGTGTAAATAATCTAAATAGTATAAGACCATGGTCCTTTTTGTTTCTTAATTTAGTTTTATTTGACTTGATTTGTATTTAGTGATAGCATTTGATTTGTTTAAGTTAGTATTGCATTACTGTTGTTCGTGTTGTTTATTATTGTAATGTAATGCTTATTATTGTATTTATACTTTTAGTTGTAAGTTTGGCTTCCTGTCCAGGGATTGTACTGCCCGGGACGTGCTGTCCTTGGGAAGGGGGTAGTGTTACGAATTTGGTAATTAAAAAGCTAATGTTAGTTCAATTATAAATTAAATGGTTTTATTTCCCGCGCAGTGCAGCGCATGATAAATATTAAAAGAAAGCTAAGTCAGAAAACTGAAAATACAAGAGCGTGTGAATTAAACATTTAATAAATATCTCTTTTTGATTTCGAGAAATTACTAGAAAATTCTCGCACACGATTTAAAAATCTTATGAAAGGAGGAAAACCTCTCAGTTCAAGTTAGTTACTTAGTTTGTTGTTTGTTTAGAAAACTGCTCTTGTTGACTGTAGTGAATTCGCAGATTAGCTTTCTTTAGCTGTTTTGAATATATTTGAATATATTATTAATATTCTTTAGCTGTTTTGAAGTTATATTGAATGTTTAAGTAGTTAGAAGATAACTACTGTGATATATTGTGATACTGCACGATTATTTGAGGACATTTAATCATATTTGTTGTGATAATAATAAATTGTCTTCATTTTTCATCGGATTTGTGCATTCACTTTGCAACGAACCCATACGCACGCAACAATACTAAGTCATATAAACACTCCAGGGGATGAACCCTAAATGCAAAAATTAAACAATTATATACACAATATTATAACAATACACAAAAATTTAAAATGCATTTAAATGAATTTAAATATTTGCAGAAATTTACAATAATATTTTTTTTCTAAAATAATATCCAATACATCTCTAATCCAGGAATTCAAGAACTAATATTTATATGTCTGCAAAATATGACAATATGTTTCACAATATTGTTGATGTAACATGTTATAGACATATGGCTATTCTTATTAAAACTGTTAAAAAATGGCATCCAGAGATTATATCAAAATCACAGCATGAAGATTTTTTCACCATTTAATACATCAATTGTGTGATTCATATCATCATTTATACACTTAAATAGCATTCATTTGATTATTTGAAGTTTTATCAGCTGTTATAATGAATACTTATATTTGCTTCATAAATTCTAAAGAAAACATGAAAATTTACAATAAAATTCTATTGTAAAGTGTTCAGCCATGCTAAACACAGAAGCACATGTGAAGTAAACTGAGTTCAAGACAGACTCGACATAAGCATTAGGAGGATTAAGTTGCTTAAGCTGAAAATCACATCCTTTACACACACAATTCATTTTCTTAAAAATAAAATCAATTCCTCACAGGACTTTTTAAACAATCAAAACTTAATTAAAGTCAGTTTTTTACAAGTTTATTGAGGAAAATTTAATACATTATTCATTGCATTGAGAATAAAAATTTTCTAATATTTAAACATACATTTTTCTAGAAAGAATAAAATGCAGTATGCACCTCAAATATAACAACACAAATTTGAAAGTTCATAATGGGGAAAAAAAAAAAAAAAAAAAAAAAAAAAAAAAACGAGATTTTTACTTTATACAGCCTTAAAATAGAAATATTTTCAAATTAGTCAATGCATGAAGGTCCAGATACTAATGTATCTTTCCAAGATAAAAAAATTAAAAAATTTACAGAAGAAAATAAAATGAAATAAATAAAATTCCTTGAACATAAAACAGCATTATTAAATATATATAGTATGTTTTCTAATCTTCAGGACTTGTTTAGATAAACCCATTACCTATGCAGTGAAACCTCGGTAGCTTGATGCTTTAGGTGATGCTGAAGGAATGTTGAATTAATAAGTTTATGTTGACATGCAGATATAATAGTGAGGCAAAAATAAACACAACATATTAAAAATTATATTATTAACCTACTTTTTATATTAATTATAAAAAATTTGTAATTATCATTACATATAATTTATAATTGTTCTAATTAGTAAAAATGATCATCAATATAATTTAAATATGATATTTTCAGATTTCTCTGTTCTTCACAATTACTGATATTTTTGCTATAGGTACATTAATGATGCACTTGAGCTTTCAACCACTGTAAACGCACACTAATCCATCCCTCCATCAAGCAAACCAAATACTCATTTCCCTGCAATTCTTTTCCTTTTATGATATCTTTGGTTACCAAATTTACTTCCATCAGTTTCTACAATCAAGCTCTCTCCACCCAACATCCCATATTCTTTCAAGCATTAACCCGTGAACACTTGCCTACAAAATCTCTTCCAATCTAACACAGTATTTTTAGCAATACCTAACTTTGTTCGTATAAAATCATTCCTGCACTTACATAACATACACATAACGTGGAAACAGATTACTGACTAACACACAATTCCATGGTGAGTTATTTTTATGTTTGCAAATCATTCTTCATCCAACAATGCTTGCAATTCCACATCTTTGTATTTTTTTGACAGTTATCCATTTTCCTTGTCTGCAACATCGAAGTCACCACTGTTTGAAATGCCGAAACATTCATTCACACGTGTCTTGCAACGGAGCATGTTCACCATACGCTTCTCGGTATGATTCAGCAGCAGCTTTCTTTATATGAAAACAAAAAATTAATGCTGTCAGCAAATGCTTTTAGTTCGGTATAAATTTCGACATATTGAACACAACACAATACTATACATACACTTTTTCAATTTAACACTCATGTGCATCTGACACTTATTGATGACACAACAAAAGGGCACAGTGTCAAATCTTTATAGCACAAACTGCATTGGTGCACCCTCTGTTATTTCAAATCCACATTTCATATTTGTACACCTGGTACTGTAATAATACTTGTTACTATCTCTACTACTATTTTCTTTTATCATAAACCTACTTTCTACACAATTCATGCTTTTCACAAATTTTAAAAGAAATCAAAATAATTTAAGTGCAACAAATATCAGATAAATAAACTTAAAGCTAGCATATTTTTTATACCTTCCTAGAATTTGGGCTACCACATTATACCCATATGAATCATAATGGCAAGGTGTATATGCTCCCATACTTCCTAACCAAAACGCACTTTCATTTCCAGGTTCTTCAGGTAATCCAAATGTTCCCCAATTCACAGCCTACCTAGAAATACCACTCTTAAAACATACAAGAAAGTTCACAATAATGCATTTTTACAGAAGATGCATAAACATACAGTACAAAGTTTGAAACCCGTACTTGCTAGCAGTTTCATTTGTATTCGATTTCAGAATTTCTGGATTTTAGACCATCAGTTTACACCTAGGAATATGATACACAGAAATTATTAAATTAAAAATATGAAATAATTGTTTATGAAACAATTAAGTATTTATAATCTAAGTTGATTAAATTATTTCACATAATTTCTTGTCCAGTTATCCAACTCTGCAATTGCAGAGTCAAGAATTCCTACTAAATTGCAATCAAAATTTTTCTTTCTCAGCAACCTATTTGTCACTTTCTTCAATATCGGTAGTGATATTTTCTGCATTTAGAACTACAGATTTTGAGAAGTGTGTTGTTTTAGCATGTTTTTAGTATGAATCCGAACAAGTATGGCTGGAGTAGCGTGCGAAGCGCACTGTTTCCAGCTCATGAAGAGAGCCAGTAGGCACATGACAGTAGTAAGCCTGACTTGGTAGGAGTTGAGAGAATGAGGTGAGGCAGAAGGGGGGCAAGTAAGATGCCACAAGCTTAGAAATTAGGCCAGACAAGAAGATGCGCCGCAGATGGAGCAGTGCAAGGTAAAGCAATCATGTGTTTTTATGATAAGATACTGTGAGAGCATACTACATGACAGAACGAGTTTGTAAGAATACAAACTCTCAAAAGCATACATTTGCAAATATAAAGTTACAGTGACAAAAATACAGTTTGTAAAATCAGATATCATATAGAAGTTTCGATGAAATAATGAGAAAAGTATTCATAAAAGCTATATACAATATATACAACTATATACAGGAATATTCTACTTTATGTAGGAAAGTTCAGATCTCTGGCTAGGTGGGCTGCTAGCGGTCGTAACTCTTTTTCTTCCGGTAGTGGAATGTAGTCAAATACATGTAATTTTGTCATGTGAGGGCATGTAACTGCTTTCTGAAAAAAGCTGGAGTTTAAGTGATGAAGATGCTCTATGACAGTTTCAATTTTCAAATCCTTGTGTAAAGTCTTATTAGATACAAAATAATGCGAACTCATGAAGGTGCGCAGCAACTTGTTCTGTGTAATTTGTAATTTAGATATGTCCCTGTCTCTAATTGATGCCCACGGAGGGGATGCATACGTGAAGATTGGCCGTATAACAGAGATGTATAAGTGCCGTTTTCTTCTTAAGTCCAGTTTAGAGTGCTCGTTAATAAGTGGGTTAAGACTCTGAATGACTCCTAATGTTTTTCCCCTGACATGAGCCAGGTGATCCTTCCAGGAAAATTTATCATTAATAATAACACCAAGGTAATTCGCCTTGCGTACTCTAGGAACTTCTGTGTCAAATAGCTTTTCTGTAATTTCAGTGGCAGAGTTCATCTTTCGGATAATGAGCAGTTTGGATTTATCTGCGTTAGTTGAAATACGCCATTTGGTACACCAAAATTCTATTTGTGGCATGACTTGTTGAAATTTCCTGACAGCTTGATTAGGACCCATAGATTTTACAGCAAGCGCTGTATCATCGACATAACAGCCAAGAAAGTCATTGCAGTTAAAGCCTGTTTTACGGAAGTCAGTCAGAAAGAAAAGATATAAAATCGGACCTAAAATTGACCCTTGCGGGACGCCGGCGTGAATTCTTTTGACTTCAAAAATCTCATTTCCAATAGAAACATGAAAACTTCTGCCTTTCAGGAATGAGTAGATAAGACACGTTAAAAGTTTTGGTAAAGCCAAGGGAACGGAGCTTGAAAATCAGACCCTCATGCCAGATGCGGTCAAAAGCTTTGGCCACGTCTAGCATGAGTAAAGCCACATTTTGTCTGTTATGTAACGCACTGCCGATGTACTCAGAAAGTCTGACCAATTGTTTCATGGTGGAAAGCGTTTTTCAGAAACCAAACTGTTCTTCTGGTAGTTTCTCTAAGTATGGTTGGATTCTATGATAAATGATGCGTTCAAAAATTTTCCCCAAAACAGGAAGCAGACTGATAGGTCTAAATCCTTCTGGCGAGTGGTAACCTTGCCGGCTTTAGGCAAGACAATCATTTTGGCTCTTTTCTAGGCAAGCGGAAAGTATCTGATAGTTAAGCAAGCATTTAAAATACTGGCATATCTTGCAATATAATTTTTCGGTAAATTCTTGATCGCTAGGTTGGTTATTGCATCATAGCCCGGTGCCTTCCTGTTTTTTAGTTTCCTTATGATTTTTTCTTAGCTAGCTTCTACTATACACTATTAGCGATGACTGGTGATTAAAGACATGATCTGACAAATTTTTTCTTGCTTCTATCACACACTGTAGAAGTTAAGCCTGAATTATATTAGTTACTTATGATATTTAAATAAGTTTCCTGAATATGCTCCAGGTTCATCTGAGTCCCGAATAAATAAATCCCTATATATACTTAAGGATCTGGACAAGAATATGCCTATTTTTCATTCAAACAGCACTATATGTAATCTTTTGGCCTATGAATATCATTCACAAAATCTATTTTTTACATATGGAAAGAAATTTCTGTTAAATTTCTTATTGTCAACACACTCAAACTTTCCAATACAGTTGGCTGAAGTCTGTAATGGTGGTCAAGCATAATGTCAACATGAAAGGTTGTCATGATGTTTGGTATTCAGTAACTAATGTTTAAAAAAAGTGTTTTAGACATCACTACATGAGTTACTTCTCAGGTAGCCAGGAACTGATAGCCACATTTGGATGAAAACAAAAAATAATAAGAAACAATTACCAGGCTAGCATAAGGGATATAAGTCATTCAGTAGGTATAAAATCAGCAATGAACTTTGGTAGAATGTTTCTGTTTGAGATGTATACCCAGCGAAAAGGCAGATACAAAGCTAATAAATTATTGATTATATACATTTAAGCTAATAAATGATAAGCTAATAAATGATTGTGTTTCTTCAACATAAAGGTGTTTTTAGTACTGCACAGAAATTAAGAATCGGTATCTTTCACATATTTTATTATGAAAAAAGGTGTTTACTGCACATATATGAAGCATTAAGCAGGTACGAAAGTGAGACTCTTCTTTTGGATCTAATTCTTTTTCTCTTTTTTTTTGGGGGAGGGGGATTATTATAAATTCCAGAGCTTAATCAGTCATGATACAGAAACCAGAAAATTTTGTCAAAATTTTATGGCTTTCCCCTGCAAAGTAAATTAACCAAATAGATATTCATTATTTTACTCTTCATTTCTGCATCATTTTTTGGATTAATTTCTCTATTTCCAGACCTGGCTTGAGATACAGATATGAGTTATTCTTTCTTTCCCCTGCAGTTGACTTCCAACTTAAATTTTTTTGACTTGTTGATATACTGCTAACTTTTTATTTAATTTACATTTTCATATTCAATTTAACATAATGACCGAGCTTCTGATAATCTAGTGTAATATTATAAATCTCTCTAAAGGAATGTAGAACTGAACAAATACAATGGGGCTACATAAGTATAGGGAAGTATTCTGTGGCAATGGACATTATGCTTAATTTAGAGGAATCATACTTGGAGAACAAAATTTTGATGTAGTCAGAGATGCAGGATTTCTGTGTTCTAGAAACATGATATCTCAGAAATAATATTTCTGGTGACTCTGATGGCCATGGCAAGACTCCAAACACTAATCAGTGCTTCACTAACCATTATTTGACATCTATATATTTATGCTAAAAGAGGTCAAATTTTGAGATTGAATGAAAGGCATGAATAAGTATAACTCTTCAAAATAGATGTGCATACAGCATTTGCTTATCAAATCATTTTGTTACAGAGGTCCTACCAATTGCTAGCTAAACAAATCTCATATTATAGAGTCACCACAACTTTTACAGTGTCTTTCTGATAGATGAGATCCATGGCACTGTAAGTTTTCTTCATACACAAATCCTTCCATCTGCTACTAATAGCTAGAAAATAAATGATTAGAACAGGTTACTCATTTCCAATCATCAAGTGCCCAATGTTCAGATTGCTGAATCAAAATGAGTTGCATAATTTTAATGTAATGCATCTGCCAACAGTATTCTAGTTGGGCACTGGTTAAAGCCCATACTATGTAGGAAATGTCTCAAAGACCTCATGCTGACGTTTATCAAGGACCTAACTCAAAACTCATATGTTATTGAAGGTAACATTATATCCTTAGCATGTTAAATTTTTCTAGCGAGTTAATGTCCGTAGTGCTCATTCAGAGCACTTTTACTTCACACTTTTGTCATACATTCAAAGTTTTCTTAAGTCAAATTGCACTCTAAAGTCATATGTAAAAGTTCAATTTTACGTCCGTTTCTGAAACATTATCATCATATCATAAGATCCAACTTTTAAAATGCAATAAAAATTACTCAGATGATCTCAGGATATGAATTTCTGAGATGATGAAGTTAATATATTGAGATGATTTAAGATTCATTTCCAAAGATTCCATTCTTTTTGAAGATCCTGTTCACTTCTGAAGATTCCATTCTTTGGATGTGAACTCCGGAAGTATTTACAGCAATACTGTGGACACCCCAAGAGTTCATATCCGATTAAGCATTTGGGTTTTAAAAAGTGCCCATTCCAGATATGACTTCTGGGGATCTACAGTATTCTTCATCAATGCAGCTTAAGACATATTGATCAGATTAGGAGAAACCTGAAATCTCACATTGAGGAGCATGTTAGAGCATTATGATGGGGTGGGGAGAACTCATGATCCTCTAAATACCTAATAATGCCAGTCAAAAAATTTTACCACACAGTAAGTTTTTTCTTTCACTGATGCTGCCATTTAAAATATCAGTGTCTCTAGTGAGCATTTCAAAAAGATAAGCTTTATGGTACTGGCAAACAAAAGTTGAAGAGTTGAACTTTCATAATATATCTATATTTGTAAAATAAATTCATTACAATGGTTATATGTCTGTTTTCTATTTTTACCATTTACTTTAAATTACCTTGCATACTCTTCACTATTGGGATTTGAAGAACACATTCAAAAATTAAAAAATGCTCTCATTATATAAGTTGAATACATAAGGTGGGGCATATTTTTAACTAATCTTTAGATAATGACAGACAAATGGTGAGAATTTGCAGAAACTTTATTCGATTGTGAAATAATTCTACACATAGGCATTTATTGTTTTGCATAATACAGACAATACAAACATCAGTGATCTTGAAAATAATGTCCTCTAAATTAGTTACCTCCATTGTTACAATCTATGGCAGCACCAGCTACACTTCTGGGGATCTATGATAGAGTACTGACTCCTGTGTCTATGATAGAGTACTGACTCCTAGCTCCTAAGATGTAGGTATGCTACACATGTGTATAAGCATTCTACCAGGGTGGCAGCTCAAACTGGTAAACACAGCACAAAGTTTACAATTGTCAGGATACTGGTGATTGCAGAGTTTAGAAATTTGCAGATTTTAGATCATCAGATAAAATATGACATGTAGATGTGGCAACATTGGAGCTTTGTTTATTGTTTGGGTTAAATAAGGTGCTAACCCCCCAAAAAGAGCTGGCATCACAGCCAGTGTAGTCCAGCGCAGGATATATGTATAAGCTACACAAGCTACAGCTTAGGGCCCCTGCTTTCTTGGGCGCCACCCTAAAAACCCTCTAGGTATCCGAAAATCATATTTGGCACTGACATAGAATATCTAGACTTATAAAAGGCTCCATATTTCAAACAGCTTAAAGCTTTATCAAGTCTAAATCTGACCCTGGTGTAGTCACACTAGGAAGCAAAAATTGAAGAGCTTGCAGCAAGAAGGGCCCAGCTCCACAATTTTAAATTTTTGGAAAATTTTTAAAAAATTTCAAAAATTTATTTTTTAACTTATATTTTAAACATTTGTCTTCATTAAAAGTGCCAGTAAAAATGATTTTTTAGGGCTACTTGAATGACTTTTTAATAAATACAAAGAACAATTATTTTTTTTTAACAAAAAAGACTCGTGAACACAAAATCTACCAAAGTGGAGTTGGGCCCTTCTTGCTGCAAACCCTTCAATTTTGGAATTTAGAGGTGCACACAACAGCAAAAATTAAAAATGGAAAAATTTTGAGAACTGAAGAGAGACACTGGGCAGCAGAATTTACTAGCAGCAAAATTTTTAAAATTTTGAGAGGTACCATACAGCAGACTTTAGAACCTGCAGTGATTCCAGCAGCCAGCAGTTGTTTGCAAGTGACATGAAGGAATCTTAGTCTGGAGCAAAATTGCATTTACAGTAAACCTGCTTCCTTTCATTGAGTATTATATTCTCATTCCTATATTTTATATAAAGGGTGAGAGCAGTGTTTTTATTATTTTATTTTTTATTTATTTATTTTTGGCTAGTGGTCTGGATATTAGATCACTGTGGATATTCGACATCTGGATGTCATACTTTGTACTGTACAATATGCACAATTCTATATATCATTATACTGATAAGAATTTAAAAGAAAAAGAGAGAAAAGAAATTACCTTTAATATTTCTGAATTATCATCAAATGTAAAATGCATGTAATTATAACTGGAGTAAGCCCAATAATCGTTTTTGCAAAATGAATAAAAGGGATTTGAGTTATCTAAATTATTTGTTTTTGAAGACTGCCAATCTACAAACTCAGATATTGATGCTGTAACATAAATGGCTGAACCTTCCCAGGATATACCTGAAAAGAATTTTAAAAAAGTATAAAATCAAACACATCTAATGTTTAGCAAATGATTATAACATTTTTAAAGCTAAAAGTTAAAGAAGTATGCTTTCATAAGTCATACAAATGAATGTGTTTTGAAGGTATGTATTAATATTAAAACTTTTGATAGCATAATTTTGCTACGTCTAATCTATCACTAAATCAAATTAAGCATATTTAAGAGTTTGTAGAAAAGAAAAACTTAGGAGGTAAAAAGAGGTAAAAATTTTGATAATTTCTTATTGGCAATACTACCCAAAATGTTTAGATGCTGAATGGCTAAAGGTGGCAAAATGTTTTGCCAAATAATTTTTCATATTGAATATCTTCAAAATTATCTTTGGTGATTTTTGACTGATAACCACATTTAGCAATGTTCTGAAGTTTAGAGCAAAAGTTTCAAAAACTTCCTAGAAATCTACAAAGGTTATACAAAAAGCCAGACATTCATTTAAAACTTAAATAGCTCTTTGGTAATCAATGAAATACAAAGCATAAGATGTTAACAGTACACATATCTAATTATAAGTCAAAAACTCATTACTATGAATATAATCTGCTTTTTAAATACATCAAGATATACAAATTATACTCACAAATTAAAAAAACTCACAAATTAAAAAAAACTCACAAATTAAAAAAAACTCACAAATTAAAAAAAAAGGGGGGAGGAATAAATGAATTGCAACTGAAATAAACCCGGGGGGGGGCAACCTAGTTTTCATTACACAGTATAAGAACACAATTAAGATAAAATTTAACATGCCTAAACATATTTTATTTAAATGTAATCAGAATTTTCATCTCATTTAATTCCCTCCATACATGCTTTTTTGAAGTTCCTTCATTCTCTTGAAAATTTTCTTCACTTGTTTTATGAAAATTTCCTTGTATGACTATTTTTACATTTCCATACTTTATACTTATTTTTACATTTCGATTAGATCTTCTTATTGCCTGTTTTGTCAATAATTGCTGTTTCACAGGTCCCAGTTTGAGTTTGTGGCTTTTGTTTTTACACAGTTTACATGAGAGGGGAATTTTCTATACTGGCTGAAGAGTGAGATAAAATAGTCAGATAAAATCTTGTATTTAAAATAATTAAAGGCCATCTTTTACATTACTTAACATATACCAAAACTCAGGGAAGTTTTTTCAAGATCTAAAGCTTGATTTAAATGGAATGATTTCTAGATTTCCATTCATAATCTAGAAGAAATAATTTGTTTTCAGAAACAAGGTGGGGAAACTGTATTGCTAAATGTAAAATAGAGAATAGTGATTTGGCATGATCACGTTTCATTACTGGGTCTAGAACAACAGTTGTCAACCCTTTGAACTTCACAGACCACTAGATATATAATTTTATATTTGGCAGACCACTAATATGAATTAAGAAAAAAAAAAAAAAAAAAAAAAAAAAACACCTTAAATCAGATCTTAAAAATAACATATTAATACGCAAAAACAACATTCATTTTTCCAATACATGTAATTCTAATTTTCATTTGTTAATCTAATTATTGAAACATTTGGTGTTCAGCAGCATGCCTTTATGGAAATTTAGGCTACACCCCTGATTATGAGTAACAGTTAAAACACTATTAACATCTCACTGATATACATATTTCGTTCACATTGAAAAATTATATGAAAAGTACAAAAATCTTACCTTCTTGTACAGAAAGCTTCACATTTCCATATCACTGAAAAGGAACTTCACGAAAAGCAAAAACAAAATAGCAAACACAAAGCAATATCAATAAACTGAAAGTGTTATGCCACCTATTTTAAATTATTGTAAACATAATAATCATCACTTACTCAGCAATGGGCGCCATTGATCAACAGTTAGACAAAACAAAAAAAGGAAACTTCCAGTGATCAATTATAAACAAAAATGCAGACGGTTCTCATAAAAATCCATCAACTTGCCTATTGATATGGAGAAAAACTGTGTTATTAACGACTACAATAGCATATATTTGTGATTCAAAAGGAAAGAGAATTACAGTTCGTGCTATTATTGAAAACAGCAGCATATCCATGGATGCCAACTCTCACTTTCAAATGTCGCTATATACACCTGCAAAAGTAACTAAAAAGTCGCTAAATTCATTGAAGGAATTTCGCTAAAAGGTTTTGTTACACGTCAACTGAATCTTCATAAAAATATAAATAATGTCCCAATTTTTTTGTGGACCATCAAAAAGTTTTCACGGACCATTGGTGACTTCTGGTCTAGAACATTTAAACTGATGACAATTTGATCATAATTTAGAGGTTCAACAAATAAATATTATTAAGGTACTAAGTTCAAGAAGAAATTTTAAACAATTGTTTTAAACTTGCTTTCACTGTCACAGAACAGCCTCCTAAATATATTTTTAGAGACTTATGATTTATTGCTGTGCTTGGATCAATCTGAACCAGCTTGCACAAAGTAGTAACTTCATCTTTTGTGAAAATCTAAGGATATTTTTATACTCAATTGAAACTACTAAATAAAAAGTATGTGCAATCTAAAATTTTCAGACTGAAATTCAATATTCACAGAGTTTATTTTCTCTAGTACATATAATAAAATCAGCAGCAAAATCTTAGTTTCTATGATGATTATAGTATTGCCTCCATCATCCACTTTGTCCAGTTTTGATTGATACTGAAAATTATGAACTAATGCATCCTACTGTTGAATAAATTTTTTTTATAACACTGCTACAGTATGCTCACCAGCAGCTGAGCAATAAAATCATTGAACACTGGCAGTTGGACCTGATATTGATTCCAGGTGAACAGGCTACCTGCATTAATCGTTTTCATGATTTTCCCCTGCATAATGTGGATATGAGCCAGTTTCTTTTAGAAAATACTCCATGAAAGAATACCTGCCTTTCGGCAGTTAGCATTAGCATGCATTGCCATAATCAAATAAATGAAACCAAGCCATGGATTAACCAATATGTTGGTGCTAATTTAGGGATTTTATGCCTAACAATATCTATACCATCTTTTAATTTTAATATTTTATTAGAGGTGTTCAAATGAAAAGGTACAAAACAACACTATGGATATACTGAAGTCTGCCTTCACATGTAATCACCAGAGGCCTGACACAACTATCCCGCTGTTTCAAGAGCCGAAGGATTCCCTTCTCCCAGAATTCCTGTAGCTGTGACAGGAGCCAGTCCTCTACTGTGTCCTTCAGTTTGCCATCCAAATTGATGTGCTTCTCTTTGAGATGTCACTTCTCACCAGGTTGTTCACCTTGTCGATAAGTTCAGTCATGATTACCATGTTTATCTGGCCTGGTCTAAGGTCATTATTCAAACACTCTAGGCCAGGGATATAAAAAATGTAGCCTGCGACAGTTAATGGCTTATTACTGTTGTGCTGCGATAAGTTGAATAAAAAGGATAGAATAATAATAACTCAGTTTTATTTACTCGCTAGGTAAAGATTAATGACAAGTGTTCACTTGTAAAAAATACTAATGAGATTTATGTAACTGTGATTTTCCGCTGACAGTAGTTTGTAGTTGTGGACCAAATTTACTTGTACCAATTAGAATAACTATATGCAATTCTGGGGTACACCACATTTCCTTTTAACATATGAAGTTGCCACTATTATTTTACTAAATTTTATCTTTATTCGCATAATGATAGAAATTAAACTTTTGTGGTTCTTTCTTGGATAACTCAATAGACTCTAATGTTAAATACTGAGTACTGGATCTACTTGTTCCCATTGAGTTATTGAACAAATTATTTTGTTAATTGAATCTTTGAGGGTCCTTTTCCGTTGCCTTTATCATGGCTGAAAGTGCCGTCCAACTAGAAAACCAAAAGGATTTGGCAGATTTTGCTTATTTTCACTCCAAAGTTCAAAATCAAGAAATTCTAAAATTATCTGGGAAAGATACTAAAGACTTCGTATTAGCTCACAAGCTGATCTAATTAGACAACAAAGGCAAATGGCACCTATGCTACAGTCTGTAATGGATCTTAATCAACTTGTTGAAGAGAGAACTTTTGCGGCAGATGATCTAGCTCATCAAGCGACAAATACCGATTCCATTTCAACACATTATGAAGATAAATTTTACCAAACAAATTCAATAGCTGTCTCAGATACTTGCATTCAAACTAATTATGCATATTTAGACTCACATTCCTATAATAAAAATAAAGAGATTCAGATGGATATAATTGGCAGAAAAGGTAAAATTTTCACAAATACTTATCGCAGTAAGGGAAGTTTCTTTGACAGAAGACACTTTCTATGATTGGTAATTCTTTTAAATGTCATTTAGATAATTTTATCATTGTCTCCTCATCGCAACCAGTCAATACTTTAATTGAATTTTAGTCTAAGTTAGCTAAAATTGATGTATCAAATACAGGGATCCACATTACGAAGATGCGTTTAACTCATTCGAAAGATCTTCTGATAGGTTGTGATACACAAGAGCATCTAGAACAGCTTAAACAATTTGATATCATCTTCTCCAGATGCCAATATTTCGGCACGTGTACCCAGATAGCATATGGATAGAATTATTTTATTTGGAGCTCCTATTAATGTAACTGAGGCTGCTATCGAAGATGCTTTTAAGGCGCTCTTTGCCGAGAAATACTAATTTAAATTTAAATTTTGTCACAAGCTTTAAATGCATGGAGTAAGAATTTCATTCTACAAATAGATAAGCAGTCTTTGACATTACTGGGTCTTAAAGGTCGTATTTATGTCGAATTCCTTCTTATAGTTTTCATAAATATATTCGAATTTTAAGATATTATGGTTGCCAGGCTTTTGGCGACCATGGAATTGTATGAATTCTTTATTTTGCTTTCACTGCGCTCATATGCATGATAATTTAGTTCCAAACTGTAAAGAGGGTCCATCTTGTATTAACTATTTAAGATCAAATTTAGAAACGCACACACAGTACAACATTTGTCACACTTCTAATTCTTATGCTTGCCCTGTTTTTAAAAAAGAGTTATGTTCTCAGTTAAAGGCTATGTCATAAAATAGCAAACTAAATGTTATTGCTATATTATTTGTTTGTTTCTCTTTTCTTAGTTTTTTAGAATAATTGTATTTCAAATCGGAATATGTTAATTAGAAGGGCATTTATTCTGTAATTAAGCTAAATTATTGCCTAGATAAGAATAATTATAAATAGATAATGTTCTTTGAATTAAATTTTACTGCTCTGTTTTTCGTATTAACTATGAAATTTGATAATTTGTTAATTGTTTATTATTTTGGTTTTTAGACTTGAGAATTTATGAAAAAGGCATATAAATAGTGACCACCAGATCAAACAATGACCGCTACACAAGTCCTCTAACCTGCTACTCCTATGCAGAGTAAACTTCCATCCAACAACCTCTATCATTTCCACAAGGTCATTGTGGGATGTCCTCGCATGTGCACTCCACAAGATGAAAAAAGCTACCATCACAAGATTTATGACTCATCACTAACTTTTGGTTGACTTTGGAACATAAAGGAATTTTTCTAAGTAAAGATTAGCTGAGCTGGAGAGATGGAAGTCAATAGAAATTTTATGAATCACAAAAACATTGCTCTCTATAAACCGGTTTGCTCATTAAAAGCGAGTTATGCTCCCATACTTAACATTGTACCAACCAAATATTTCCGATTTCCTTATTAAATCAGGGCTCGCTATAAGCGAGTTGTATCGTAATACAGAAAGGAGGCAGAAATTAAAGCGTTTTCTGGCAACTGTTGAAACTTCCCAAGCCTTATTTCTAGTTAGTGGATTTTAAAAATCTTAGATTCATTGGTTACATTTAAAATTACATTTAATTCACACTAAGATAAATGGAAGACCCAGTCAGAAGATGATTATTACAATTTAAGATTTTATAAAGGAATTAAAATTTTTCTTATGCATACATATTATTACTGTAAGCATATAAATGAGGCTTAATATACATATAATGAAAACATTTGAATTGATTAATAATATAGAAAGCAATGTTACATATAAAATATAATAATGTTAATATGGAATAAATAAATCATTGCTTCTGGAGGATTTTCTCCACATGAAAGAAATCAAAATTAGCAGACAAAAGAGATGCTCTTCCCAACATTTGAGTTCAATTATGCTACATAATTTAACTGAAATGGGAGAAATGAAGACACAGATGGCATAGGGAATAGTTGCTTTGGAGCAGACTATGAGTTATAACATCACACATTCAAAGAATTCTA